GGGAGAGGTGAATTCTGTTGGGAGAGTCTGCAAGACTTTTCACACATGATGTAGTACCTGAGCTAAAGCTTGAAAAAGAAGTTGGCATCCACCAGGAAGGGGAAGCTGGGAAGGAAGCCCACTCCGGGAAGTGGGAACAGCATTAGCGAAGTCACAGAGACTTGAAACAACCTGGCGTATCTGGATAGCTATGTGCAGCTTATTGTAGCTGGAACGTAGGATGGAGCATGCTCCATATGTGCTCCATGGATGGAGCAGTAAGATTGGAGAGCCAGGTAGTTGTTAAAATACAGACAGCTTTGTGTGCCCTACTGAAAAGTATAGACTTTATCTAGTGGGACAATTGGCGATGGGTTTCAAGCAGAAGTGTTACTCAGCAAAATTAGCATTTTAGAAAAATCATCCCGGTAGCAGTATAGAAGAAGAATTAGAGAAGCAGACAAGAGATAGGGAAACAAATCAGGAAACTGTTGCAGTAGTTGACAAGCGGTAAGGAAGCCTGAACCAAAGCACTGACTGTGGAGAAAGGGTGGGATCAGATGCCAGAGCATCTGATTAACTTAATGGCTGACTCTGGGGAGTGTGAGGAAACAGTCTAGGATGATTCCCATATTCCTGGCTGGGGTAAGTAGGTAGATAGTGACAGCTTTCCCTGAGGAAGTAAATAGTGGGGAAAGGATTAGTTCTGAACTTACTCATCAGAAGAGTCTGAGATTTAAGGAACGTCAGCATAGAAGGCAGATGAAGCGATGCAAACAAACATTATTGCCCAGGGTGACGATGTGGTGTGAGGAAAGGAGAGGGTCCAGTTGGTCTAATGGATGACACTGATAAGCAGTAGCTGGATAACCAACAGAAAACGTTTTCCAGAAACAGAGGAAAGTGATGGACAGTGTCAGGTATCTCACAGGCCCGAGTGAATCTGCCACATTTGGTCATTTGAAGTCCAGGGTGACTTCATCTTCAGATTTAGTGTTCGACGGAGAAGAGCTTTGTTGTCGCTGGTTGAAAGTGAACGGTGTGGTCTGTGAATAGCAGTTATGTGCTGCTTTTCAAGAAAGTTTAGCTTTCAGTGAAGCTTAAGAAAATTATGGAATTATAGTGAGAATTTTCGTTTGTTTGCTATTTGTGTTTGTACTAAAGTAGAAAGATCTGTGCTTGTAGCCTGTAGGGAAACAGCCAACAGAGAATTTGAAAGTAGAATTTGGAGGAGCTTTAAGGTTATCCCCAAGGGAACAGATGGAGGAATTAATCTTGAACAAAAGGACACCTCTCCCTCTGACACTAGAAAAAAAAGATAAGGGTAGGTGCAAGAGGTATATTTTTCCATAGTTTTGGAAGCGAGGATTTCAGGGCATTCAAGACCAAGTTTTCTCTGAAGTAAGGAAATATACTGAGAGAAAGTAAAGGTTTGGAGGAAACCAAGATGCGTTGAGGCAAATTGACTTTCACTAAGGCATATTGCTGGATAAGTGGTTTGAACCAGGACTAGATCTTAATTTTGAGGTCCACACTGGGGAGTCATGTCAGTAATCTTTGACCCACCAATCCTTGGTGTGTATATCAAAGGCTCAAAAAATCTTGATTAAATATTACAAAATAAAACTTCATTATGACTGATTCCAGTTAGGATTCTGATTTTAGTTAAATACAGTAGTGATGAACGGATCTGGGGGCAGATTTTTCTGGCACATTACCGCACTGTAAAAATTTCTCTTTAACAGTAAGTGTTTCTTTCTAATCCCTCATTTCACTGTCTTGACTTTTAAGGAAAATTTCTGGGGACCTAGAGATCATGTTTGAATTTCTCTTTATGACACCATGGGCTACTCATTTCCTAGGTTTTACTAACCTAGAAATCATGGAGATGTAAGCTGCTTTTAGAGTTCATATTATGAGAATGGTGAGATCCTGAGTGCAGATACCTGAATCTCACTGTGGCTCAAGTTTTCTGTTGAACTTGTTCTTTAATATTGGGATTTTAATTTTTACAACAGAAATGACTTGCAACAAAACAGTTCCTAGGTATTGGGGTTTTTTGCCACCAGAACAGTCTTTCAAAGTATTATTTTCATTGTTGTTCGGATATAGTGGAAAAAATAGATAGCTGTCCGGAGGGAGGGGGAGAAATTTGTGAACATAAGTGTATAGACAGTGTCTTTTCAGTCGTCATTTCAGACCAGTTTGAAGTGTCTTCATAGCTTGAAACTTTTAAAAATTCTTGAAGTGAATGTAGCATATAATCTAAAGTCAGCTCAAATGATTAGACTTGTAAGTGTTTATGGAAATGTGTGTGTTGTCTCTCCCAATGCTTTTAAAATTTAACTGATCACTATAAGATAAACTAATTGTTAGTTTGTTTAGTTTTGTGCATTCAGTTTTAGGTTAGGACAATGACGTTTTTAACGTGAACATTGACCCCCTCCTAGAGAATTAGTATTTGCATATTTTACACAAAGCTGCTTACACCCTGAAAGAGTAGGCAAAACAGTTTTGTGATTAACTTGGCAGAAGTTCTAGGTGATTTTTTTTTTTCTTTTTCTCTATTATGAATTTCATTAAATTTTTCTGCTTTCAGTTTTCCCCAGCATGGATATATTAAACTGACTTGGGCAGACTGTGGTTTTTGCATGAAGCAAGCAGAAAAATGGGTTGTGAAAAGAGGGTAGATTGTTGTAGGGTAGACTATCTTAGCCAACCTTTCTGTTGTTGTAAAATTATTAAGCAATTCTTTTCCACAGCATATATTTCAAAAATAGGTATTGCTTCACTCTATTTAATGGTTATTATTATTTTTCTTCCTCTAAATGAAATAGTGAATATGTGTAAGCTAGCTTTGAAAATATTGAGTTCAAATTTCAAATCACTAGAACAATTAACAATTATCCCAAACCTTAACAATTGAATTGTGTGTTTTCTTATGTTCCCATTCATCACTTCATGGACGTTTGAATAGTCTTTAAAGAAATGTCAAGAAAGAGCAGAATTATAAAAATGCTTAGGAAGAACATGTAATTGTAGATTATAGTTGGGTTTTTTTTAAGAAGAGCATTTTATTTTTTAAAAAGTGACAAGACTTTCAGTTTGAGCAGAGGCATTTAAGTATCCTATTCTAGCTTTCCTGGTATTCTTTTTTGTTTTAGCACAAGTAAATTTCTCAAGAGGAAGACTGAAAAGTATAGAGTGTGTATGTGTCTCTCTCCAGCATACACCTGTTCTTTTGCACCAGATTTCAAAATGCGTTGTTAAAACATGTAGGATAAAAATTTTCAAGAACACAGAAGTAAAACTGAAAAATGATTCTAAAAAGAGAAGTGGATTAAATAGTTAAGTGATAAATATATCATTCTGTACATAGTACTTCCATTTAAAAGCATAGCACTGAAAAGTTGACTGCATCATCGTACTACATTACATATTCCTAATTACCCTTACTTCTAGTGATGTTAATAACAACTAATATTGATATAGCACTTTCCCATTGAAGCATACATTCTATTTTTATTATCTCCATTTAAAGATGGAAAATGAAGCTCAGTGATGTTAGGTGATTTCATTATTACTTTAGGTATTGTATTAATATAAATAGTCAACATTAATTTTGATCAGTGTTTAATAATAGCTCCTGATAGAATTTTTAAAGCTGGATAATTTTTTTAGCACTGATTTGGTATTTGACCCCATCTAACTACTTTGAAAAATATTTTTGTTTTTTATAAGATGGTGTCATAACAGTTTTGGAACTTTAGAACTGTATTATTATATGGTCTTAATTGACTTTTTCACCAAGTATGTAAAAGCTCTTTGCTTCAAGAGAAAAACTTAATCTAACATATACCATGAGCTGTCAGTGAAAGAAGAGAAGTATTTACAAACATTATATAAATAATGAGTCAGGTAAAAAGCACGTAACCACAACCCGCTACTACTTATACAGAACATCAAAATGGAATCTTTAAATACTGATACAGTGGAAGTCCTCCGTGTGGTTTTGATTATTAAAAAAAAAAAAAGGGAGAAAGGAGCTATTTTCATATACTAATATTTATATACCATAACCTATCATTTAACATTTTATTAATTCACAGATTACTTTTTTGCAGTAAATTAGAAATTCAAACTGTTTCAAATTTTTCAAAGTTAGATCATTTTATCATAATTTTTGAAAGCGATAAAAAGTAATAAGGATATAATGAATGATTTATTAATAATGAAGAAGAGACTAGATTATTGCTGAAATTAAGTCTAAGTTACAAGACGAATTTACTAATTTACTAAACATTTAAAACTTTTTTGTGAACTGTTCATTTTCCTACGATAGCTGTACTTAAAATGTTGCACTTGTTATGCATTTCATTTCTGAGACTCTTGTACTCAAACAATCGTAGTAGGTTTTTTGTGTTATAGAACATTGTATTTACTTACAGAAATTTTACTTTATCATTATTTTAGTGCTGTTTTTGAAAAGTGTCTTAAGAATAAGGTGTTTTGATGCAGTGGAAACTATTTTGCTTGGCAAGTTAGGTTACAGCTGTGTTATCTATGTCACCGTGATGTATATAAACATGAATATTACAGGTGTTTTCTGTGCAGTCTCTGAAAAGGAAGTACCTGCTATTTCACAAAATGCTAGAGAAATGTGAGAAATAACTCTTTCTTAATTGAAAGCAGTCAAGGAGTAACTTTTATTTTTGCATTTTTTTGCATAACTTTTAACACCACTCTAAGTTATTAATAAAGTCAATTCCACGATGAGTAACTTGTTTTAGTAAGGCGGATTCACTTTCCTGTGGTTACGCTTTCATTACCACTGTATTCCTTCCTTCATAAAAACTATGAAGGTTTGTAAACTTTAAAAACGAAGCATATAAATCATTACCACTCCTTTTGACCTACCACGTGTCCTAGTTTGCATTGTAAGCAAATATTTCTCATCCAGTTTTTGCATCAGTAACCCAGGAAATTACGCCTTAGTTTCTGATTTGCCTTTCCTCTTACAGGTCAACAAAAATCTCTCGTTTCCTTCAACATCAGCCTCCTCACAACAGTCTAAGTTAAAACAGTCCAACATGCTGGCCGCTCATCAGATCCTGCGTCAGTTTGGTTTCCCTGAGACTGGTGAGCCCCTTTCTTGCTTTGACTTTTCTTTTAAATGTTTAGTGCTATTTTTTAAATGGATATCATTTATTCCACTTCAGAATATAACTCATAGCATTGTAATGGTCAGTTTGCACACTTGATGAATCATATTGTAGCATCATTTTTTTCTTTCAAAATCACTACCATTATTTCAAAAGCAAATTTGAATTTGGTGACTTTAATAGTAGTTACTCTCAACCTCTATTCTTTTGAGCAAAACATGTATAATATTAAATCTGATTCAGTTTCCTTTGGGTAAAGGAACCATAATTTATGGATAATCTCCTTTTACAATTCATTTCAAGGAACACCAAGGTAGCATGCATTTTGGCAGAAACAGGATGCAACCTGCCACTGATACCATGTTTCTTCAAAGTTGGCAAATTAATAAGATATTCAAAGAAGCTAGTTACAAAATTCTACACAAATCCCAGAGTTGAAACGAACTATACAATTGCAGTTTTTTTGGCTAATGTTTTAAATTAATTTGAATAAGGTTTTCAAAGGATATCAAAGAAAAAGCATCTAGGTGAGAAATGTGTATTTTTGGTATTGAAAGATGACTATTTCTGTTCATTAACTATATGTTTTTGGCAGTATTTTTTCTATTATTGAATTCTTTTAGAAAGATGAGACAGCTGAGAATAACAAAACAATTATCTTTGACAGAGATTATAATAAGAAGAAGTTTGAACTTGAAAAGATCAACATAATTTATTTAGAAATTTGGAGACAATATTTTCTGCTTTAAAAGTATTTGGAGTTCACATATGCAAGTTATTTTTATATTGCTGCATGTTAATATTGCTGTATAAGTTACATATTGCAGTGGGAAGACACATGGATCAAGAACTCTTATGTTCAGTCCTGGCTGTGCCTTTTATTATCTTTATTACCTGTGTACCTTAGAATCTTCATTTGAAAACTAGAAATCATGTTTGCATTATATATTGTTGAAGTTCAAATCACATAGCAGATATGAAACACTTTGTAAGCATAAGGTACTAAATGAATATAATATATTGTAAATATGATGAGTATGAGTATGTGCTAGCTTTGAAAATACTTTGAGTTCTAATTTCAAATCACTGTAATAATTAATTATCCCAAACCTTAGAAATTTTAAATTTCTAGTGTTCCAGATATCTGCCAGAAGTTGGAGCAATAATGTTGTCATTCTTATGTACAATGGAGGGTGCACAACATGCTATGCCTTAGATTCTTATTCTCTGCACCCTAACTAGATACTTAGTTTGCCTTCAGATCCTGTCATTTTAATGACTGAGAGGGAGGGAACCTATCTTCACCACTTGATCCCTATCATCTTTTTGCTGAGGTCTAAAATTCTTCTGGGAACATATCTTTCATTCTACACTTCAGGATTAAAGGCAAAGAACAGAAATGCCTGGTTGAGTTAATCTGTTAGTTAAAATTCATTCACGTAGTGTCTTAAGTTTTATTGACCAACAAGGTGTAGATAATAGATATAAAATTCTTTCCTTTTCTGTAAAGGGAAAGAGCAGAGAGGATAGATACGAAGTCCTTTGAAATGGAAGAGTGATTCCACTGAGACAGATAAAGAATAAAGATAAAGAATTAAGGGAAAGCTGGATATGATGAAGGCAAGCCTTGCAAACCTCACAGTTATGCACAGAATTGGCTCCATTTACCTTCAGTTTTCCATGGCCATGTAGGCCTTGAGTGGGACTCTTATATCGTGCATGTCCCTTCATGTGTGCAGTAACTATCCCAGGAGCATTACCAGTAAGCCATATGATACATGGTAACACTGCTTCACTTGACTTTGTTTTAGTTATTAGTATGCCTGACATCATTTTAAGGCGTATCCTTCCTGTAAAATTTATTGAGATATCAGGATATAGAAAAATTATAAAAGCAGAATATGTAGTCCATTGCAAAATGGCCAAATTAATCCATTTTATTCATCAGAAGTCAATCTTTGTGGAAAATAAATCCTGCACTAGGAAACAGGTGAACTAGTTTCTACCTCTGGCTCCATTTCTAAATGGCTATAGAATCTTGAGCAATTTCTTCAGGCATCAGTTTTCTCATCTCTACAGGTAAATGAGGGCTCTGGATTTGGCGAGTTTCTGTCTAAAAAAAGTCTGTGATTCTGTTCAGTATTGAAACCAGTTTTAAAAGGGGATAAATAGTTAAGTGTTCCTGACTATACAAATAATCTATTAGAAGCTGAAATACAGGACTACGGAAACAAATAATACAGATAGGATGTTTAAAAATAAAAGTCTTACTGAAAACCTATCTTAATATTCAAGTCGTACCTGTAGATGTTTGGCTTGGTGCAGTATAAAAGGCTGTTTACATAGAGCTAGTCAGTATGGGCCCACTAGCCCGCACACTAGAAGCTTAAGAGCAGGGGTTGATGTGATATATTGCATATGAGTTCATATGCTGGAAGGCTAGGCTCCAAAGTGGGTTTATGGTCTGCTGTAACTTCTGTTGACTTTTTTCCGGGTATGTTCTAGGTAATGGAGACTGCTAGAAAAGTAAGTCATTCTTCTTTGGTTTGTATTCTTCAGAGTTTCTAGAACAGTACCTTTATTCATTCTAAAATCACTTTACTTGGCTAGTTTGTTTAAGGCTCTCTTCTAAGGATATAGACTAAATATTATGGTCTGTGCCCTAAAGGAGCTTACAGTCTGGTTGGGGAGACAAATGAGCATTCAACAAATTATATCTGCGTGTGATAGATTCTAAAATCACAGCGTGAACAAAGAGTCACTGGAATAAAGAGGGATAGAGCAGCTAAGAGGTTTCTCAGACTTTACATGTCCCAGCAGAACTCCTGCCCCCAAACCCTTCCTTCCACTTGCACTTCCCCTGCCACACACAGGTCTCCCCAGGCCCAGCACTCCCAGTACCTTAGCCCGGTTGTTTGGGTAAAACTCGCTGTTCTTGATTCCTCCTCTTCCCTCCACTCCCCGCCTTCCACTCTTGTCTTTTAGCTTATTCTCCCCATAACAGCCAACATGAGTCTTAGAAAAATAAAGTAGATCATATTACTTCCCTGCTTAAAACTCTTACATGGCTTTCTGTCACAATTTGAATGAGTTGCAAAGTCCATCCCTGTCTTATAAAGCCTTCCGTGATCTTGCCTCTGTTTTTGTCATTGGCCTCATCAGCAGGTGGAGGTTCAGGAGGGCATGCTGAGCTATGGAGCAGGTGACCAAACACCATTAGAAGAGAGCTTGACTTGGCTAGGGAGTGCTGTGACTCTTAGGTTAGCTGGAGGAAATGGTGAGATGGATATGTTTAGGAAGAACTGAGTCTGCAAAGGTAGATTGGAGTCAAATTGTGCCCCACTGAGGAATTCACATTTTATTCTGTGGATAAAATAGAGCTATCCAAAGGTATGAGTATGAAAGAGATATGATAAAATGTGTTTTTAAAAAATTCAGTGGATGTCTGAGCGAGGGATGGGTTAGAGAGGAAAAAAGCTGGATACAACTCTTTAGATACTTATTTTAGGAACTGTTCATCAGGCTCTTACTCTAGGTTCTTAATTACAAAATAATAAAGCAGCTAATTCTATTAAAATTAAAAGTCTAAATCTTCCCTGAGTAATTTTTGTAAGAAAGAAAACTATGCCATTTTACTTGTCAATTATACCTTAATGAAGCTGGGGAAAAATTTTTTTAATTTTAACATTGTAGGTTAAATTGTAGGTTATAACTCGTAATGTTATGTTGCTTCTCAAAACTGTTTCCATATTTCTTTAGTATATTGAAGAAAATCTATTAAATAATCACAGCAACTTCTGTTTGTATACAAATTTATTTATATAAATCCTCATTTGATCCTCAGTAAGACTCTCTGAGAAGTGGGGTAAACAGGAAAATCATAGGGAATGGAATCTTTTTAGAGCTTCTAAGACTTGAAAACTCTTTCTCTTCATTCCCTTTACGGTGACACTGAGCAGCGGAGGGCTGAATTGTCCAAGTTCACATAGCTGGTGGCAGTTGTGTCACTCCTCGCTCAGGACTTCTCAGCCTTACACACCCGAGTGCCTGTTCCTAGAGCAGGGCACAGTGCAGGAGGTGAAGTAGATGCCTCCTCGAGGTGCTCGGCGAGGCCGTGCCTGGAACCCTTACTAGGCCCTGGCCCGTTGTCCTCCCACTCTGCCCGGTGGTCCTCTGGCTGTACGTGTTGTCTTTTGTTACTAACTTTAGAGATCTGTGATGTGCTGCAGAATAATAATCTGAACAGGACTACTTGGAACAGGTGTAGTTGTTAAAACTGAGGTGTCAAGAGGGTTTTTTCTAAGGATTTATGAATTTACATTTTTCTTTGACCTTTAAATATAATTCTGTGTTTACCAGTTACTAGATTTTTTAAGGTCTGGTTTCAGTGAAACTGTGGTATTTAGTCTCCAGTCAAATGTAGAAATTCCCTACAGAGAAATTTTGTTCTGTGATAGTGTGTCTGAATCCCCGATCCCATTCAGCCATCTCAGGAGTGCTTATTGTAGAAGTAGATTTTAACACGTGGATTACTCAGGAAGAAATAAAATCAACGACTGTTATGGGGGCAGAAATTAGCAGGAAGTACTTATTCTGTAGGCAGTAGAGTAGTTGTGTCATCTTTGCGTATTTGTGTTTGAAGGACGGCATGTTTCATTTTCATGTACTTAATATATCTTTTCACATCACTGCACTAAATTTAATTTAATTCATATTCATAGATAAGTAGAATCATACAAATAAAATGATTCATTTTTCTTATTATGACTTTATTAATGCAATCTTTATATCATCTTTTTTAACTGTAGACTTGAAGTTTGGTTGGGGGGGCAGAGTGTGACATGGTTTTTAAATATAATCAATTTTATAATCAATCCTGTTTTCTCCATATTTTGTTTGCACTCTCCATTAGACCATATAAACATATATTAAACTTGATAGCCAACCATTTAATCTAACTTTTTACCGTATCCTAAA